TTCTCTCTCTCTTCTCTCTCTCTCTCTCTCTCTCTCTCTCTCTCTCTCTCTCTCTCTCTCTCTCTCTCTCTCTCTCTCTCTCTCTCTCTATCTTTTTTATATGCTTTCACCATATATTATTATTGACTATCCCAACTCTAATCCACATTCTGCGTTTATTTAATACCACTTATTATTGAAATTGGATATATAAGAAGTTTTCAAGAAGAAAAGATTAAACGTGAATAATTCTTCTCATAAGTTACAGTTTTCGTAATACATTTCATTGGTGCTATCGATATATTGTATTTGCATCTTTAAGTACAAAAACCTGCTTCTAACATATCACCTCCTATGTATGATTTGATAAGACACTCCGCATCCCTTTCGCACGATTGCGAATTTCGGACCGACGCGGACGTGGCAATCGTGAGCTATATCCGCATTTCCCGGGTACCGAACGCCAACAATTTGAGCACATTTTTTTCATTACAGCTTCATGCGTATGGTTGATAACCATAATGATTGACGATGATAGCGTATTGGGCCAATTTCTGCGACGATCATATATTATCATTATCAGTTATGTATCCATAATGTTGATCGGCTGAAACAAAAAATACAGATTTTTATCCATTTTATCGATACATACGATTTGAATTGCGTGTAAAACATTGGTTCATATACGATTACCTTCGATGGCGGGTTCGCATGAAAGCAAATTCTGCCAAAACATCACGCCGTATTGTCCTTCGGGCATTTTCAATTCGCCCCCATGCCTCTTAAGTAATACCCTCTTCTCAATGAAAGCTGTTAAGGATTCCCAATTTGTTCCGTGAAAGTGAATCCGATTGCGAATCTTCTCCTGCGATACACAATATACATGGACATTATGAAGATTTTACAAAAAATTCTAAAATTCACTAGAAATTTATTGTCGTGCATAGTATGTCCAATAAATACAAAAAATTTTAAAATCTGTGGTCTTCATATTCAGTAAAAAGTATTATTCACAAACTCCAATAATTCTTATGTGATCTCATATCAAAGACAAAGAGGATGGTAAAACGTCGAAAATATTACAAAATTATATTAAGTCATTCTGCGATATCCGGTACATGTTTTTTCTTCACAAAGTCAAGCAGAAGTGTTAATAAATTTAAATATAAAAAACTTGTAATTGAGCTACAAATTTATTCAAAATTGTACATTAAAAAACATTTAAAAAAGTTATTACACATCAATATCCGTATCGACTCGCATATAGGCATTATGTAGTTATGTATTTTTTATTTATTCATCGAAATAACTTCTTCGAAAAAACATTTACTCATATATCCGTTAAAAACTTTGAATTTTCAAAAATATTTAAACTAGATAAATTTTTAAAAATGCTATACGCTGTCGAAAGCGGATCTTGATGCTTAATAATAATTGTGTGAACCTTTACAATTTCCAACTGAGGTAAACTGTGTGCCGAATATTTGTCGCTCTTGAAACACGATCTCGATTTTATATTAATGTTTATTATACATCACATAAAAAATAACGTTTCTTTTCACATTTACTAGTTATTGCGATAAATATTATCATATTCCTGTGGTGGTCGAACGATAAAACGTCTGCCCGGAGAGGTCCAGGTTCAAATCTTAGCTAAGATAATATTTTCGCAATAAGTTATTCTACGACATTTAATAAGATGCTCATTGGTATCAAAAGTAATTAAATTGCTTGTCAATTTAATTTGTGATATTACGTAGTTTGGATTCACAGTTTGGAGCTGTGTTTCAAGACCGATAAATATTCGGCGCGCAATTTACCTGATCTGGAAATTGTAAAGTTTCACACAATTATTATTACTTAAGTACCAAGATCCGCTTTAAATCACGTATGGCATTTCCAAAAATTTATCTAGTTTGAACTTTCGTGGTCTTCATTAGGTTTCATATTAATGTTTATTCAAAATTTTATTCATGAATATTTTACGAATATTCATATTCATTCAAACAAAATGTAAATTTAAAAAAGCTCTATAATAAGCAAACATTGCTCTTAAGGAATCATGCCACTTTTGAGGTTTTAGACCTAAAGTTTTGGATTTTATGTGGATAATAGATAACTTTATTTAAAATCTGCTCAGGGGACATTATTGTATATATAAAAGAAACTAAAAAAATATTTTTTTATTTTTCTTATGCTCAAAATGGCGACGCACTGGCCTACACTTGCGAAATCCCTTTTTTTTTTATCGGTGTACAGGATTCCAAATACACGGTTTGACTTTGAACAAAACACAAAGAATTTTCATTATCTACATATTAAAAACTATGGAAGTACGTAGGGATTTTTCGAAGTATTGATTTTTCTCGAAATGGCAGCTATTTTAAGAAAGACTTGTACTGGCGAAAAATACACATTTTCCGTAAAATAGTTGCCATTTAGAGTAAAATCAATATTTAGAAAATTTTCTACATACTTTCATAGTTTTTAATATGTAGACAATGAAAATTCTTTGTATTTTATTCAAGGTCAAACTGCGTGCCTGCAATCTTGTACACTGATTCCAAGATTTAGAAAAAAGGCATTCGGCAAGTAGGCCAGTGTGCCACGATTTTGAACATTAAAAAAATTAAAAAATATTTTTTTTTTACTATATTATATATGTATAACAATGTCCTTGAAGTAATTTCTTAATAAAGTTATCTGTTTACACATAAAAAAATCCCAAACTTAAATATCATTTTAGGGCTTCAAAGGTGGCATGACCCCTTAACACGCGTTTATAATTATAACTAGCTTTAATAATTCTAAGTTATTGAATAATATATTACTAGATCTTGTCTTTGAAACCTGTAGTTCTTTAATTGGAAAGAAAAACACAATTATGATAATGATGGTTCTCGTCATTATTATCACGTGTATTATTCTTCTTTTTATATTTTTTTTCAAAAGTGTTTTTTTTTCTCAGACGTAATGTTAATTGAGGAATTAAATATCACACAAGATTCTCTGCCGATTTCATTACTTTTATAGATTTATGTTTATTTTATGCTTATAAGCTGTGTGCAGACAGTACAAAGCGGAAATGAATGTGAAATTAAAAATATTCGTAATCATATTTATATTCACTAATATATTCGTTCAAATTAAATAAAAAGTATTTACTCAGACAGCACACAGAGTTCAAAAAGAATTCATTTGTATATTCAATCGTATGACATTAATTCTAAATTCATTTTCAGTACAAAATAAATTCTTTTTCAGAATTTTTAAAGAATTTAAAAGAATTCTTTTTGCATCTGAAAATGAAGTAAAAATTGATGACATATAACTCATATGATTGAATTCTTTTTTGCTCAATTCTATGCTATCTGGATATGCATTTTTCCGTGAAAAAAAATTCTATTCGTACTCGTATCCATATTCATTAATTATTCGTTCATTTATTTGAATATTGATTATATTTATCGGACACACTAGTCGTGCAATTCGTGCAGCTTATAAAAGTGAGTCGTAAGATCCATGAGATCACAAGATCGTACCTCCAGGAAAGGTTTGAAAATAGCGAATGCCATGTTGAAGATAAAGGACTGATTCACAACGTGGATACCTTTGAGACGAGTGGGCAGACACTTCTGTATGAAATCTACCAGCATTTTGGCGAAGGACGGTGTGATATACGTCAAATGGCTAAGAGATAAACCTTCAACGTCCAAAATGATATGCGCGCCCGCGATCTAAGATACAAAATAAAATTAAGTGCACGTCCTCGTACATCTACTCTCGCGTAGCACTCTAAAAATTTTAGATTTATTTCAAGTATCTGTTTATACCTTAAATATATCTATGCCTTAAATAAATCCATATCTTAAATATATCTATATCTTAAATCAGTCGAAGAAATACGTATTTTTCGGCGAAACTAACCTGAGTTCTGTATTCCACCATTGCCAGAAACAAGACGAATATCAGACCTTTGAAAAAGTCGTTGAGCGACACCTCCTTCGGTTTCCACCGTTTTCCCGCCTCGACCACCAGCACTCTGCATCCCTCTTTAGTACGAAGCGGCAACGGATATATTAAACCGGCGCAAATTGCAACCTTATCTTTATTGATCCGCAAATCGCTATATATGTTTGGATAATTTAGGCGGAACCGATAATATCGTTTTATCTGTTGAGTAAAATATTTAAGCAATTTATTGTTATTGTCAAATTTTGTATTAAATGCAGAACAAGTGCAACATCCTAGATCTAATGAGATGTTTCTCGGTTTCAGACTCATTGTCAGCCGCGACGAATTTGAAAGCAATTCTTCCTCTGCGAAAACGTCGAGAGGAATTATTAAATTACTTAGCGCGCCTTTCCAATTTTTAATTTAAAATTAAATATTATTGTAAGAGAGGTTCGAATTAATTTTCAAATACAATTTAATTTTATTACTCTTGTAATTAACTGAAACATATATATAATAAATCGATTTTTTTCATCTACTTTCTTTCCTGCAGTTTTCATTCAACTCTTGACTTGTGCATATTCAATAGCTAATAATTTAAAAATTCAATATTCCAGAAAAGAGAATAATTGGCAACAAAAAATCTGTGACAATCCGATGGTTTTAGGATCTCTATATAGAAAAAAAAATTAGTTTTAAACCAAAAATAATATTCTCATGTAAATAAGAATATTATAATTTTCTTAGAAAATTTTTAATCTTAATTTAATTGAATGTTTATTAAAATTAATGTAATCAAGTCAAATAATCAAATCAATGTAAATTTTTATTGAATGTTTAAAACCACTCAAGATAACCATAAGGAAGGATTGCTGACACCACTTTATTTTCGGATTATATTGGATTATCCAATACATTACATATTGGGTTTTTTAATCAAAAGATAAAAATAAAACTTTGAAAACATAAATATAAACTAGAATGTATCTTTTATCAGATAATATTGCAGTTTTTTTTTGTAATACTGTTTTAAATTTTGCAATATTTAACATTTTCTTAAGATAAGCAAATGCCTGAAAACCGGCAAAAATAAAAAAGAGAAAAATAGAAATAAAACAATTTTAAGATACTTACTTCAAACATATAAAACAGTCTAATATTAACAATAATACATTCAAAATTATTTAAATTACACAATTTTCAAAGGAAAATCATAAGAATGTTATTTTTGCATTTATAGAATTTGTTTTCAGCTGATTTTATATAGAAGCGTTGTTCACAAATAGATGGGTTTTTACGTATTTAATTATTTAATAGATCATGTTTTTTTTTCAGTATTAAAGTGCAACGTTTAATTTTCGAGAAATGAATGAGTGCCTCTTTAAAGATCTACGTCAGTAACGGCGATTTTCCTCTATTTGCATTCAATTTAACACTAAAAATCTTCTGAAAAAATTATAACATTTCTGCTTGAATATATGAAAATATTTTTTATTTGAGACTGATTTTTCAGTATAATATAATCTTGAGTATTTAATAGAGCATTTAAAATGACTACAGTCATTTTTGTATATAATGTACTTAATCGCCTAGTGCTTAAAGAGAGATTAATTCATAAAGATATTACGAGATGTGACTTACAAGCGAGAAAGCACTTTTCGCATACCATTTGCATGGTCGCAAAAATGTTATATAGAAGTCCTCTATGTCCGGTAGGTGCAGATTAGGTTCCCCTAAAAGAAACGAGAAAAAGAATTAATTTAATAATAAAATCGATGCTACCCTGCGACATGTAATTTTGCGTTCTAGCGTGTGTACAGAATATTTCGCGTATAATTTAATGCAAAAGCGGAAAAGCGGGTCGAGGATAACAAAGACTGCGATGGCACATATAAAATATATAAGGTATACCATACGCGTGATACTTTCCATGATCGCGAGGCAAAATGATTTACAAACAATAACGGATACGATTATCACGGTCTCTTTAAATATTCCTTTCCGTTTTACTTTCTAGGCGTACACTCCCGAAGAGCAAGGGCTCGGGCTGTTGACAGTGCAGATTGTGCAAGCGCACATCAGCTTCTACGGAACTTACCTCGTCATATCGTGATAATCGTAAAACATCAGTCGTAATGTCAACGCGGTGATTGCGCAAGAACGAATAAGAAATGGGTACCTAAAGTTTATACCATATATACCCAAGGTGACTATATACTCAAGGTAAACGGTAAATAGATATTATATTATACAGGACGTCTCCTAAGTATCGTTCAGAGATGAATGTCTTATAAAATCATCTTTATGAGGGAAAGTATATATAGTCTCAAAGACCTCGTTTCAGAGATACAGAGTGTTAAAAATTCTATAATTTTTAATTATTAAGTCTACCGCTTCTTAACATTTTGCTTTTCCACAATTAATATAAGGATTTGCGCCTAATTATTAGTTTGTACACAGAGAAATATTTCTTTAGATTTAACAAATTTCGAAGAAAAGTGTTTCAAACAATCACATTTTTTATGCTAAACAATATAAACGTAACAACGTAACAATAATGTAGTTAGTGCAACAAAATTACAAAATTTGTATTAAACAAAATGTTATGTTAATTTTATTAAAAATTATATTGTTTCAATAATATAAACGTAAGTCAAAAACCGAAGAAACGCGATTTGCGTTAGGTTTCAAAAATTGAAAAATTTTCAAAATTTCCCTGTTAAAAAAAATCGATAGAAAACGATAGGAACTGATAGAATCTCCCAAATATTTTATCGTGTTTTATCGTATCTATCGTTTCACTTTTTCTATTCCGAAAGAAATGTTATCGTTTCCTATATCGTTTTTTATCATTATCTGATAAAAGCAATTTTAATCGTGCAATATCGATAAAATTTCTAAAGTAACATATTGTTTTATATTGTTTTGATAAAATTTATTATAAATAAATAATTAAAACATTATCTTAATGAATTATTTACACATGATAATTCTTTTACGATTCATAACTGCGATTAAAAACGATTATATTGTTTTTATCGTTTTCTTTCGATTTTTTTTAATAGGGTTGTTAAATTTAAAGATGATATCGTTACGTTATTTTACTTTTCTCTGGCAAAAATTTCAATTAATGTTTCGATTATTTATATTACCCGATTTCTGTCTATAATTTTACATTATAACTTACTGTTATTTATAATATATAACTTACTGTTGTTTATTGTTTATTGTATTTTAAGATAATTTATATTGGAGCATCAATTAATAACCTGCTCTGGCTCATAGCCCATTATTTTATTTATTAATTCTACAATTGTCTAAAAATTATCGCTATATTTTCTTTTGAATATACTACACATCCGAAATGAGGCCTTTGACATATTTATATATAAACTTTACTTTAATATAAAATGACCACAAAAAAATGAGCTCTTAAAATAATAAACAGTACTAAAAAAATGACCTGTATAATAATACTTTGTTAGTTACGTTAGGACTTGTCGAATCAAACTTGTAAATTTTTATTTGTTGCAAAAAATAATTTGGATATGTATATCTAATCGCTCGAAAGGCAAGAAGCGTGACTCCATTATTACGTTATAGGCGCGAGCAACTTTCGTTTTTACTCGATTCGTGTGAGGTACGGCTGAATTCATACGCCGTATTCGTGTACTTTTACCGTTTGTGTTAAATTGACCGTTACGACAGAACATGAACGGTAATTGCACGCAAAATTTCGTTTTTGTTCCGGAAACATCGCTCGATCTATCTGACGTTTGTCGGGTAAAAATAGAATTAATCGCTTACGAGTGCGCAACAGACAAAAAAACTAAAAACAGAAAAATTAACCTTATTAGTCGCTATTTTGTGAATTGCATAATTTTCCACGATGATACGGCACTATTGTAATTTACCTAATTAAGAGCTGATACATTTAACATCTTACTGCGCGAGTCTTATTGGAATATTGCGCCATGTTTCATTAGGTATTACGTAAAAGGGAAAATTTTCTTGTTTCTCTCTTGTCATCGCGCCTCCATGCGCGGATTAATTATTTTTAGTTTCACTTCAATTTTTACAAACACGAAACCTAACGCAATTCCGTCTAACACGATACTACCGTGTACACGCGTATACGTTTCTCTAATTAGGTAACAGCAATTTTCGAGAGAGTAGCCAATATATTTTTCGCAAATAGAAAAAAAAGGATATCAAGAGTGACAAGAAAACTCTTTATTTTCACAGTCGCTTTTTTCGCCGCGACGATGGTGCGGAAAAACCAGTCGCAGAGAATGAAAATAGACGACTCCGTAGGAGTTGCGGGAAGAAAGTGACACCGCAAGGACAACGACCGTGCAAAGTCCCCCCGCGAACATTGTGCGGAGGAACTGGTTTTAATGACTCACACTAGTCTGGTACACAAGACTGCGTCATTTTTTTTTCTCTTGCTCCTTGTCTCCTAATCGGAGGCACTGAATTTTAACCGAAGGTAACGCAACCAAAGTTATATCAACACCTGTGTTACGTAGGTATATGATCGAGAATTACGCTACCTGCGAGAAACTCTCTCAGTTCCTTGAAACCTTGTGCGACGACCTCCGGCGTTTCCCGTAATTCCTCCTGAGCCTTCTTGACGAAGAACTCGCCGACTTCGTTCACCTCAACGGCGAGCTGGTACTCGCCGAACATGAGCTTCGGGGCGTTCTTCAGCCAGTGCTCGTACATTTCCTGCTTGCACACCACGGCCAGCGGGTCCTTCATGATCGTGCACGACGCCATTGCCGTTCAACTAGATCGCTGCAGCGCGCACGATGTGGTGGTATATCTGCCGGAAGATCATAGCAGTCGAATTATCGCCCGTCGTGGGTAGGCGTAGACGCGGTCCGGGGCATGATATCTCGCTAACGCACACGCGCTACATACGTCAACCTTCCGAGCTTTGTGAAGATAGAAGAATAATTTTCGACGAATGCACGAAAGTGAAATGAGACGCGGGAGAGACCGAGAAATGCCACTTTTATATTACGCGCTCCGTTCCCCGTCGGTCGAGGATCTACGTGTTCGTCAGAATCCTTCCAGCTGTACTTATATATACCGCCACGGAAGTAAATGTACGGTCGCGTGTGCGCGGGTATGTGCGTTGCATGTGTAGAACAAGTTTTGCATCGCAACACGAGAAGCTGAATCGAACGTCTCAGCACGTTTGCGCAAGAAATTACGTGAGATCTTTATAATGAAACAACAGGAATTCTCGAATTTTCTTCTTATATTCTGATAAAACTGCTGCTTATCTGCATTGACTCGACAAAAAGAAAACAAAAATGCTTATTTCCAAGCATTAGTGCAGAAATTTACAAACATTTTAACTGAAAAATGCATTTTAAATTCGACGCATGCAACAACTCACGTTTTCGAAGCATTTAACAAATTTAATGCACATGTCTAATTTCTTTTTCAACAGCGATTTAATTTGCCGAAGTTTTTAAGAGTTTATAATGTAAAGCCCGATTTTACTTTCGGAAGCAATAATTTTTCAAAAATGTTCAACTCTTCTGGTAATATTAAATAATACCGGAAAGCAAATCGCAAATTATTAGTCTGAAATCGTGAACGCTTCAATTAGACTTCGCATCCTCCTATAAAGCGTACTTCCGAACCCACTTCAGAGATAACCGTCATTCTATAATACGGCTGTTACACGGCCTGTAATCTGCCATTAGCCTATTCATTTCGACAATCTTAATTTTGACTCACTGTTACGTAAGAACACCAAGCTGCTCATTTGGCCTGTACCACTCTTACATCCTCACCGCGAAATAAATTTGAGAGAGATGTTTGTCTTTGACATCCCAATTTCCTTGAATGACTCAAGGGATCGCACGCTCTCGCTAATTAGTAAAAGCAATTGTTTCATAGAACACAAGCACTTCCAGAGAAATATCTTCGTCCATTACTTTGTTTCGTCGTTAACAAACTAGGCGTTCATTCCGCGGTGACGGTGAGCGTGAAATTTCGAAAACTCCTTCCTCCACTTTTCCCCGCTTGTTTGACATCGTATTTACATTATGCATTCGCTCAACGTATGCGTGGATATACTTATTACGCAGAAAAACAAATTTTCCTCCTTGAAAAGTATAATTTACTCGGTTAGTAATTTTTTCTTTCGAAGAACCAGTTTTTTCCCTGAGATAATAAACGTAAATATGGTTAGAATTTACGCAGAAGTATTATGTAAAAGAAAAAACCAACCTGTGATACTTATGTCAATTTTATACATCGATTTACTCATTTTACTGGTCAGCGTATCGCGATTATCGTCGTTTTTCGCTGTTTATTACATACATTTATATTGAAAGCATAAATATGCTATTATTTTATAAGCAGAACTATATGCGCATTTGGTACGCAGAATAATATATTACTATTGTTATTATTATTATTATTACATACGCAGAACTGTGCGCATGTCAGTATTCAGAACTGTATAAACTTAGATTTACATAGAAAAGAAGAGAGACAGCACTAAATCTGTTAAAAATTGTCTTTTCAAAAGGAGGAAAAAATTTAAAGGCATTTCCTATGTCATTATTTCTACATTTAATCATGTGAAATGGATGATAAACGCATAAATTTTAGAGGTATTCTTTTGGGAAAAAGTTAATCTATTGAATCTACAATTGCTAGAATCTATTGTTTCGTAATTAAGTGTTTAAATGGGACGTTTGAGTCACAAACAAAGTGAACAAAGTGCGATTTTCGTGCAGTGTAATAAAACTATTTAAAAAATGCTAAAGAAAAACGTTATTAATACTCTAATGAGTTTCAAATTCACGATTATCATTTTCTAGCATGTAATTATTGCCACGCAGCACTTGATTTATTGTATCACATCACATCGCGGGGTTGGGCAAAATACATCATTAAAGTATTTGAAATATAAAGTACTGGCAATCTTAGTATTTGAATTAAAATATAAAATACTTTATAAAATCTTTCGATTTGAAATACAAAATACTTTTAAATTGTTTATTTGAAATACAGAATACTCTTTAGCTCGATCTTTTAATTACAATAATATAATAATGTTAAACTTTCTCAACAAATCTAAAAGCGCTACAACATTACGCGGAAATTTTATTTCACTTGCGTTAGAGATTCTGACTAACCAGATCCATCTTCACTTTTCAAACTTTTATAGAGAGAGAAAGAAAAGTTGTCTCATCCTCTAGCATTCTTTAACAGTTCTATTGTTCTATATCATCAACTGCATGAGAATCGCACGAGAAATCTGCTTTTTTGTGCGAAATCATGAGATTTGGTACAACAGTGACTTGACACGGCTTGAAACTTAAGGAAAATAGTAAGCGTCGCTAATTTCCATGTAAGAAAAATTTAAGTTATTATTATTATTCAAGGATTTTTATCAAAGTTTTTTTTAGTATTTCAAATATATTGAATAACTTCTTTGAAATACAAAATACAAAATATTTTTATATGCTCCGCTGAAATACAAAATACAAATTGCATATCAAATGCAAGTAGGTATTCAAATATGCCCTGCAGCCCCCCTACTGTATTATACATATATAGGCAATTCAATTCTTTAAGCTTTTATTATTAATCTTAGTACTACAAGAAGAGAGAGCGTTCAAATTTAAATTATAATTTAATATAATTATAAATAAAAATATTAAAAAATTGCAACGTAAGTTATATTATTTTTCAATGTAAGGAGCGCGCTATTTCAACATTCTGTCCCTTATTTACATCTAAATGACGAAAATAAGGCTCGTAATAGTGCGCATCTCTGTTAATATTGACATACTTTAATTTTTAATGTATCGACAACATTATCGTTCCAGTAGTTATCATGTTGTAGTATTTTTTAATAAAAAATCTTTTAGATGCACTAATCCACTCTATGCAAGTATCAAAGTACATAAGTCTATTATTTGTTCACCGAGCTTTGATCTTTCATTAAAAGTTACAAAATTTAATTTATGCGCATGAAGACCAAGGACATTATGTTGAAAAATATAATATGACTTATTATTACATTGCTGTATTTATTTTATTTTTTTAATAATTATTGAATTATAATAATTATTAATAATTTTAATAATTATTGATTTGTAATTTAAATTTAAATACGCTTTTGTATTACAGATTTCGCTTTTTAATATCATAGCTATAATAATATGAGATATAAAACGATTAATATACTAACTACATTAAAACGAATAATATATTAACTACATTAAAAAGAAAAGAAAATTAAAGTAAGAAGAATCCGTTAGTTTCTTTATTTAAAAAAAAATACTTACTGTTAGATAAATAAAAAAATTATAAATGCATAATGTAATCATGCATGCATGCATTTTCTGACAAGTGTACTTCAGTAATAACTTAGCTATATACTATATACATACTTCAGCAATAACTACTAACTCTCAGTACTTTTTAAGAAGCAAGCATTAATTATTATTGCAGATAAGAAAAGATGTAAAGAAATATAAAATGGATATTCTCAAATATAGAGAAATATAAAAATTTCAAAATTGAAGAGGACAAACAGATCTAATTAAATTTCATATATTTTTTACAAATACATGTATTTTTATAATTCATGTATTTTCGATCGAAATTTATCATTTATTAAGAACAATAGAAACTATGAACGAAATGTAAAAAAGATGCAAATACTCACTAGAATTATTTCAACGTTCTCGCAGAAATCTCGAAGATTGAACAGTTAGCTGATCGCACGTCGATCCTCGAAGTCGCGCGTACCCTCTTGTTCTCCAAACAAGTTTTCACGTCTTATACAACTGTGCAATCACCGAGTCTTCGATTCACAACTTCACCGAGATTTTTCGATATTATTGAAACAGGCAGGAGAGCGCCAATGACCGCAGACAGAGCGTCTGGAATTCGCACTGGTCTGTCGTTTCTCTCTCCCGACTCGTCGCGAATGGCGCGCGAATGGCGAGTCGCGGAAGGCGAAGAAAAGGAAAGACCTCCTGGAAGACTGGGTCAGTACTGTGATGCACGAATCGTCGATGGGAACTGCGTTGAAACAATCCAGTCAGAATGTACGTTCGAAAGCCGCAGGTCTTCCTTGCCCCTCCCCCTTCTTTTACGTGGTGTGACGTTACGGAGCGTGCGAAATGATATTATCAAAGTTCATTAAATTTACGTTTGATAGCAGCCAATATGCAATAACAAAATAATTACGCTTATATGTAAAAATATAAAATTTAAATATTGGAATCCCTGGATTTCGTGGTTCCTTAATAATACGAATTAAACGTTTCAGAAATGTATGCAGTTCAACGCTAAAAAATCAATCCTAAATCAATTCATAAAAAAATTAAAGAAGTAGGTCAAGTTGCACAAGAAGTCAAATTCTTCTACTCTGCAAGTGCAGCAATATAGGTTTTTATTTTTACTCATTTTTTTTATAAAACTCTTTTTACCAATTTTTTTCTCTGTGTTTAGTATTTTATTTAAATTTAATTTTAAAGATACAAGAGGAAATGACATATTTTCTCAGTGAATAACTAAATGTGATATTTTGTAATAGAGGTGATATTATGTAACATAATATGTAAATATAGTAGTTTTATAATACAGTATATCAATTTTATGGTACTAATAGGGTAATAAAATCGCAAATTTTCTGTTTAATTTAATAACCTATTCTAAGATTTTGCTGTTTTTTTACATCTGTGCAGAATAAAAATGATAGACATTATTCAGTTTCAAAATCGACTAACTTTCTCCAGTCTTCAAAACCTGTTTGACAAAACCAGTTGAGCGAATTATAGTTCAATAAATAGAAATTGTTGTGTAATTCTCGTATTATGCAAGTTTTGTTAATTAATAACATGAATTTTTCTTTTTGTTCAAAAAAGAGATCTTATTAGTTTGAATGAGAAAAATTTAAATAAGAAAAATTATCCAAGTTTTTTTGCCAAATAGAATTTCAAGTGAGTTTAACGACTTTTGTCAATAGGCCGATTATCTGGATACAAATTTCGTTACATAAGTGAAATAAAAATAACAAATAAAAAAAATTATAAAGACGCGCGAGCAACGTTACTATATATATTGCTAAAATTTCTATATTAACGCAACTTTAGACAAAAGTTCGGCAAGTCTGAATCAAGATTCGGCCGCATATTCGAAAAAATCGCGCGATTGAGCTGTTTTGAAATGGAAACGTCTAAGCATTGAATTTCGAGCGAAATCAACGTCTAAACTGTTTAATTACGTTACAATGTATGGAACATTAATTTAGATATTTATGAACAATTAAGAAAAATTAACCACAATTCAATGAAAAATAATTTATTTATCGCAAATAAAAATAATTATTTTATTTGTTTCTTTTCTTCGTAACACATAATAATAATAACTTTATGTATAAGATTACGAACAAGTCCAGTAGTTATAAAGAAAATAAAATAAAGAACTGCAGTATTTATAAATTTGTATAATATCAAAAAGGTATAGATAGTGCTCAAGGTTGTTACTACAACGTTACTTAACTTATATGTATAAAAAAATAATAATTGCATGTTTTCAAGAAACATGGTTTAATGCAGATTGCACGAGAAGACAAGCGTATTTATACGTATTCAAATTAATTGAGCCTATGAGATTTAATAAAATTAATGGACAACGGTGAAAAGTAAGAGAATGAAGAGGAACAATTTTATGTTTGAAGATTAAAATGTTTAACTGCTAGGAAACGGCGGAGTTGAATTCATTTATTGAAAAGGAAAAAAAGAAAAGGTCATGTCAGCGGATGTCGGAATCAATATGTTCTTTACTTGAATTCAGTTTCGAACTCTGCATATACGATTCCCACACGCGAAAAATTCAAACGCTCCTCAAGCTCGATATTCGAACTTTGAATTGTTGGATAATTTCGTGTCCCGGTGACCAAGAATTATGAATAAAAAGAATAGCTTTTTAACGTTATATTTAGAATTCATTATGTGACTGATATTTAAATTATACCATAAAATTATTAAGAAACGAAAAACACCAATACGGTCCAAGCGGATCTTGGTGCTCGATAATATTATACTATGCGAATCTTACAATTTATCGGTTCGATTAATATCAACTTAATTTGTATTTAACATTAACGGTCTATCCTGATACTTAATTGTTCATAAAATTATATCACATAACAACATAGAGTTTAAAGAAATTAATAGATACAATAGAATATTGATAGAGGTCTAGGCCACGTTGATGAGTCGCGAATTTTAATCAACAGTTGCCCTCTGAACCGGATATTGACGCTGCGCCAACGTTTGAATGCGATACGAGTAGTACATATCTTTGAAGTAATGCTATTATAACTTCTTTATAAGCATGACAACACGTTTTTTACTGTACCTTTTACTATTTTTATAGACGAGCCATAAGCATAGTGATCAAATCACATTGCATTTCTTGTATTTACACGCAAATATTTATAAATAGCTAGCGTATAAAACTATACCATCTTGTCGTGTTTTCATTTAATTTAATGCGAATGTGTACTTTGTCTCACTAAACGTTTGTTGCATAGAATTCAGCTAGTTCAAATGCGCAGATTCTTAATTGCATGTGCTACTCATATAAAAAAAAAGTATAGTATGATCGCATCTTTCCAGCGTTCTTGGTTGGCTAAACATCTATAATTAATGCTTTGTTGTGCATCTCTGCTGTATGATTTACAGAGTTAACAGAATTCTTTACTCAACTCTGATGTATCTCCGTGAATTATTACATCATAACATAGATTCTCACTCTAACCTGTCTTCTGATATTCGTCAGTAATATCAACACTCTTGTTCTTCTCATTGTACAAGAAAATTTCAAGATGCAATTTCAGATTTTGCTGAAAAATTCTATAATACAGTAATGCACTTCCATTATCTATACTTATATTTCTTTCTCTTCCTTTAAATCAGCTGCAACTTAATTCATTGTCGCGCATTATAATTGATGTAGCCATAATATAACATACTATTATAACTGCATAGATGTATCTAAGATGAAACAGGGAGGGGATTGAGCTTGTCTCTTTCCCTAAATGTTGGTAAGGAAAAATAATTAAGTTATAAAAATTATTTTTTATAATTAACGATGTTAAACGCTTATTGATTACGGTGTAAGATTAGAAGGTGCAATTACGATTTAACCAATATATTACTGTGATTTTCTGGAGGACATTTCATATATAGTCATACCTACATATATAGTTACTACATGTATACTATAAGTGGCATATATTTACATATCTCTCTCCGCATAATAAGTAGTAAATACTACTACTATAATAGCAATATTATATATACTATAATACAGTCGAACCTCGATAACTCGAATTTTAAGAGACCAGAAAAACTGTTCGAGTTATAAAGTTTTCGACTTAT